AAAATCCAAAGGCCCATAGTTCTAACCCGAGAATACCGATCAAGGAGAAGCGACAGCTTGGTGTTTTCAGGGTACCGTTTTGAAACGCGCATGTGCGAAAATAAGTTGTGTATCACTCAATGTCATGTTATCTGTCAAACTCAGTCCAAGTTGTGTTTAGTCTGTGAGCTGTTATGTGATATTTTTTGGTGTTGTAATAGAATGTCTGGATCTAAATATTTTTGTGCATACAATTCTTGTTCGTTCAAAACCGGCTTAGGATTAAGTTTATTTAGTTTTCCGAAGGACTACAAACGGTAAATATCATTATTAATTAATTATAATTGTGTATGATAAAAATATTTCCAATAGATTGCATCCCTCTTAGTACGATTCATGGTACAAACATACCCGACCGTCACTATTTTCATCATATTTTAGTAATATTGATAATTGTTTAGTATAGTATTTACCTAATAAAAAATAAAAATTTTAGTGCAAAAATGTGGATAGAAGCTTGCAGTAGGGAAGATTTACTACCGAAAATATTGAATGTCCACAAAAACTATCGGGTTTGTGAAAATCATTTGAAAGGAAAATATTTTTTAAAAGGCGGACCTACAAGAAAAATCCTATTACCAGAAGCAATACCCACAAAGTTTCTCAACCTTCCTCCAACAAAGAAAGAAATACCTGATAAGAATTATGCAGAATCAGGAGAGCCTCCTAAAAAAATTATTATATTATCAGGTTTGTTTTAATAAAATATTGTTCTAAATAATAGTAATAATAATTATTCATTAATATAAATATTGATTAAGGAATATAAAATGTTAACATATTTTCAGATATTGTAGTTGTCCCTGCTCGTACTGACATAACCAACAGGTCCTTAGCTCCTGGTCAATCATTCCCACCTGGAGAAGAAGCCCTACTTTCTGATGGTAAGTTACTTAAAAATAGTTTAAAATCAAATTTTTTAATATGGTTATCTCTTTATATACACACTTAATTCCATTTGCCAAATAATCATTATTTTCGAAATTTTCAGGATAATTTTAAACGCACCTTTTTCGTGACATAATACAATAAATTTCCCTACAAACTGAGGTATTCTAATAATATTTTACTTTTTATAGTAATAAAATATTTTTTTAGGTCCAAATACCTATCAAGGGTTTGGTTCGGATCTATGTAAGGTTAATATCCCACCACTATTTATGCCGAGATCGACACAAACCTATTCACTATTAAGTAGTCGTTCACCTAGAAAACATAAGTTAAGGATGAAATTAAGAAAAAGGATACACAATAAAAAAATAATTCACCGAATGATGGTATGAATTGGACTCTTGAAGATTTCAATAAAGTGTGTGATAGCTTTTTGAGTAAGCAACTGGCGGAAATAGTAAAATCTCACGCTTCTTTAAAGAATAAGAAACCCATATCCAGAAGGTACTCGGCAGATATGAAGCCATTTGCCATAACATTGTATTTTTTAAGCCCCCAAGCCTACGAATACCTTTGCAAACTCCTAACTCTTCCATGCAAAAGGAGTTTACAAAGACTAACTCAAAGGATCTCATCTAATCCTGGTTTAATAAATAGTTCTATATTTACAGCACTTGAACTAAAATTAAAAACGATGCAAAAACAAGACCGACATTGTGTGCTGTGTGTAGACGAAATGTCGTTAAAATCAAATTTATATTTTGATACCGGACGGGATGAAATTGTGGGTTTTGAGGATATTGGGGAAGAAAAAAAAAGGGGATGCAATATGTAAAAACACACTAGTTATTATGGCTAGAGGGCTTTATTCCTCTTGGAAACAACGGATAGCATATTTTTTCGTTGGCACACAGATGAAGGCCAAAGATCTTCGGCCGATTTTCGAAGAATGTATAAAAAAATTATGTAGTATTGGTTTTTATGTTCAAACTTTATTGAACTGGCAAAGTTATTTGGAGTTACACCAGACAACCCAGAATTTCAGCTCGGAGGCCAAAATTTGCTTTATATTTTTGATCCCTGTCACTTGCTTAAAGCCACAAGAAACAATTTATTAAAGCATTCTTTTTGTTTCGGTGGTAAAAAAACATCTTGGTCTTTTATTAAATATTTTTATTAGCAAGATAAAAAACAATTTTACCGCTGTGCACCCAAACTTACTAGCTCCCATATAAATCCTTCAAGTTTTGAAAAAATTAGAGTAAGTTTCGCTGCACAACTCATTAGCAGAACGGTAGCTAGCGGAATGAATACCTATCTAACTTTAAACGCTATACCCGCAGAGTCTATTGGTACTATCAAATGTATAGATTTTTTTAATAATTTGTTTGATATCCTCAATTCATTTTCTTTAAGAGATTCCAATAAATTTAAAAATGTATTTGACGGTTCCGATTTTCATAAAAAAATTTAGCACAGGCTCTTTCATTTCTAAAAGACTTACAAATATTTAATAAAGATGACCAAAATATTACCAACAAGTTAAAATTTAACAAATGTTGGATAATAACAATAATTAGTTTACTAAAATTGTGGGAAAAACTTTCCAAATTAGGTTACCAGTACATTAAAACAAGAAGATTAAATACAGATTGTATTGAAAATTTTTTTGGCTGCATAAGACAACAAGGAAATAATGTGAATCCAACGCCCATCCAATTTCAAAGAGCGTTTCGAAAATTATTTTGCCAAAACTATTTTCATTCCAACCATATGAACTGTGTTGATGATTTTGATGAAATATTAATGAATGTTAAACAGACAGATATAACTAAGATTATAAGTGAGGCAGAAGAAATCGTAACCCCTAAAGCGCTTGTTCTTCCTGATTATAATTATAAAAAAGAAAGTGTAACCACCAAAAATGCATTCAGTTATTTCTGTGGTTACCTACTCAAAAAAGCATTAGAAGTACACGCATGTGATATCTGCAAAAACCTTGGAAAACTCTGTGACAAACTTAATATTAATAATTTATTGATGCATTTTAAAACCTATAGCCATGACCAAAGTTTTTGTGAAAATCTTCAGTCACCGCCTGAAGATTTTATTCATTTTGTATATAGATTAGAATGTTTATTTAACTCATATTTTGATATAATTTGTAAAGGAAAAGCTGTTTCGAATGTTTTATTTAGCAAAACAGAAAATATTTGTTTTAATCATCCTTGCAAAAAATTTCCAACTGTGTATATAAAAAAACTGTTTATACGAATGAAGATTTTTTTACACATAAATATTCTAATACAGATACACAATGTGCCAAAAAAGTTATTAGAAAATTAAAAATTTTATCACATGTTTAAATATCAATGTAACGTTCGTTTAATTTAAAAATAGTTTATTAATTAAAAACAGTTTATAGTTTATTTATAATTTATTTATAACGTACTAATTAATTTATTTAATAATTAGGCACTATTATAACTAACAATTCTAATTTAATTATTACAATTCGTCTTTACTATACCACACTTTCATTGAAACTTAACATCTAGTGACAAACTCGCGCTATTTATATAAAGCCAGCTCTGCATTAGAACATTCTCAAAAGTTTAGAAACTGGAATTTCTTCATATATGACTCAGCCGCCGCGCAACGATTTCTCTGGTAGCTTTTCGAAGGAGTGCGTGTGTTACTTAATTTTTTTGGTACCCGTAATTTTATTTACTTTATTTTACTTAAAGAAAAGATAATTTATGTTAAATATGAGGCTTTTATTACATTTTGAACAAAAAATAAACCAAATATTGAACAAGTTTTATAGATAAATAATAAAATAATAAACGTCTTTTATTTATATAACAAATAATTAATTATTACATAATGATGCAGAAATCTTACCATTGCTATTAACCCTAACTACTTTAATGTAATTAAATCACATTACAACATTTGCGCATGGACTATAACACTGATTTCAGATAATTTGCCAAACTATTTCGTTCAGTGTAGAAATTAAGCATGTTTTCTCAGCGTGCTAAGTTGTGTATCAATCAAAGTCATGCTGTGAAAAAGGTCCATCTGATATCAAAGGCACCGACAGCTACTGTCGCTTCTCCTTGATCGATATTCTCGGGTTCTAACATCAACTCCGAATATGGAGAAAATAAAACAGTCCCATATCAAACAGAAAGGTGAAAACCAGGAACAGTATCCGTAAAGACAAAAAAATACTCTAAAAGTTACCGGTCGTTTTGATGATTTTGACAGCGAGGCTGAAGATTCTTTTGACGCTGATGACGCTGAAGAAGTATCGTGATTTTTTTGTAATAAATTGTTCTCTCAGTCCCAACCAAAGGAAATGTGGATCCAATGCCAATATTGCAAAAAATTGTCCCATTGCGCGTGCACTGGAGTATCTTCTAAAGCAAAGTGATCATTTGTGATATACGTAGAGACCTTTATGTTGAGTTAATCTCGTATTTTTTTAAATAAAATATTTAAAAGAAGTATGTCATTTTATCCAAACTTCCCCAAATGCTGTAGATCATCCAAAAATTCATTTACATGTGTTGTAGATTGCCGAAATTAAAATATTGTTATTTTTATTGGGTTCCTTTAAGAAAATTTCAATTTGTTAACTATATAATGTAATAAAAATGGGTTTGATTGAATTTAAAGTTTATTTTCTTATTTTTAAAGTATTTAAATAAAAGCTTGTTTTCAAAAATGTTTCTATTATTAATTTATTTACCTTGTAATAGACTTGAATTTAGACCTTTTGATTTGAAATGATGATATACCAGTGAAAAAACACGATTTTATTATAATCCAATATTTAACTCATTTTATTCAAAAAGTGGAATAATGGTATTTTAATATGGACCGATTCCTTTTTGTTCCGTTTGAAAATTTTACTAGATCACTGCCCGTATTAATTTTACGATTAAATTACATATAACATCTTCAGCTTTGTTTCCACTTGTTTCAAAGTATATTTAAATGTTTTCTTATTTTTTTTATACTGCGCATTATGGTTAAAACGAATAATGAAAATAAATTCATACCTGTACTAAGTACGACGGCAAACAAGCAATCTTCATTAACTCTGTTGTAAAGATTATCAATGTATTGAATAGTTTTTTCAATGCCTTGTCGCACTCTCAGTATTATTCTTTTATCTACAATTTCACCCCTTGTATTTGTAAATAAAAGACACATTAGTATACACAAAAAACGAAACATTACTGAAGTTATCCCGCAGGTGAGTCTAACTTATATTTATTTACTTGCGTTCGCCTTTATATCCCTTTAAAAATCAGAGGCGCGCTTTTATTTTATTTCTGAGAAAAACCTGTAATTTTGGAATATTTGTAGCCAAGCAAAAATATTTAGAAATACTTAACTATAAGAATATTTATCTAAGACATAGTTGTGTTAATAAAACTTTTAATAAAAATACTGTAACTTTACCTTATGAAAATCTTTGTATGTCCCTTCAACTGAGTACGAACCTTTTGTTGTTGGTCACGCCTAATTGATGAATCTGATTGGAAAGAAACTCTGTTAGTTCGTCCTTCGTCTTATCATGGGCCAATAATTTCTGCATTGATATACTTTCCATTTTCCCAAATATCTTGCATCGCTTTCTGGAATATATTTATTTTTATGTTTGAAAACTATAAATGTACTTTTTATGAGAAAACTGTTGATCCTACATAAAAAGTTGTAATAACCTTTTCTGTGCAGAATCTGTGTAGCTATATTTGTTTTAAACTTTTTTTCGTAATCTCAACGGTTACCTATATAAATAGGAAAACTTGTTTGCGATGCCCGTAGCATTCAAACGCACCATTTTTGAGAGTGCAACCATCGAAATTATGTTTGTCCAAGGGCAAACGAAGATATTTTGAGAAAGCTTCCACGCTAGCATCATTAAGGAACATACGGAAGCCTATTTTTGTACATTTGACAGGGGACGACACTTAGTAGCGCAACTTCGTGGCGGGTAAACGCCTGCCATTTAATTCAATGTGAAAATGTAGAAGCTATCCAGATGAGCGTCTGTGGCGAGCGGCTGTGACAAAGAGAAGCAGGTCCCCGCGACAAAGTGGCGACACTTAGTCGCTGGAACCATCCAGATGGGATACTTTTGTAGTTGATTGTGTAGTCGACTTCTACTAACATTGACAGAGATATTTTATTTTGATTTGCGGTGTCCAGTATTGAAGTAATATGACGTTCGATGTAGATCTATTTATGTTTATAGTCGAAATAGAACAACGTCCTGCGGTTTGGAAAAGCAGTTCGAAAGAATATAGCAATAGTGTATTAAAGAGTAAAGCTTGGGAGGAAATTTGGTGTAATTTTCTTAAAAAAATTTAAAGTAATGGATTCTGGTGCAAAGAACAAGGCATGTAAGTATCGCTAGAAGCGCTAGAATGAGTACTTGCTGGTCCTGAGTCCATTATGACACTGGCAAATTTTAATTATCTTCCAACATGATATACGTAATATATATTCCACTGACAGTTAACTTTAAACAAAAACAAAACATTCTGTCATTGACTTTGACATACCTATACGTTTTTAGTTTTTTTGTTTAATATTGTACAATTGCCGCGTTTTTATATCCACATCGGACACATCTGTTCCATTACATTTACGTTTACTGAATCACGTGATCAAATATTTACTACATCTCAGATGCATCCGATGTGGATTCTCAAACGCGGCAATTGTATGCAGGTCGTAAAAAAGTAGTATAAAGGTATGTGACCAAATTATTTTTAGTGTTTGAATGAATACATTCTTGAAAATTATAAAAAAAATGTTAATGAATACCTGTAACTATCATTGTCAGTGAAACACAAATTACGTCTTCACTAATATAGCGTATTGATTTATTGAGCAGTTCTTAAATTGTTCGAAATTTTTGGATGTATGTCATATAGCTAGTAATAGCTACTATTCCATCTTTCATAAAAGTTTTTTTGACTCAATATTTACTGTAAAATTACTATAGGAAAAAACATTTTCAATATAATTTAGGTACACAATAATTATTTTAAACGTATTTTATTCTCTTTATTCTTGTTCAGTAAAAAATTGTGATTTGTCTCTTCATTACTCCTATTTGATTTTATTTTCATTTGATCAATACATTGGTTCTTCGACATAAATGAGAATTTATAGAGAGGAAGAAACTTTTTGAATACTAAACAGTTGACCTTTGAAGGAAAATTACATCAGTGTCGCTCCCTTTTATTTTTGAATTTTGTTGCCTAGGTATAGTTTATCTAGGTATTACTTTAAAGTCTAGCAAATAATGAATTTAGTCATTTTATAAAAATCCTTAAATAAATGTAGAATATGTGAGTATCATTACATATTTGTACATACAAACTTCGCTACCTAAGAAAGAAGTCCTACTTATAGACACCTTTTATAAATTTCCTCCAGAGAGCGTATCTTTTAGCTTGAATCGCTGATACTGACATTTCGTTATTACTACTGTCATTTGTTTTTTGAAAAATTAGCCAGTTTTTTTAATATGACCTTTAGTCTTGAATAAGATAAGTATTTCGAGTGTTACTTAAGAAATGCTAGATGTGAGTTGGGTCCATCGAGTTAGTATGGAGAGGAGATGAAATTCCATACAAATATTCAAAATAATGTGGTACCACTAGACTGACATTAAGATGGTAACAAGATGGCGCATTGAGTTATTTAAAGTGGTCGTAGCATAGAGATAAAATAAGGAAGGAGACGCAATTACGTGGTCAAAAGTGTTACCTCGTCGGCCATATTGATACTAAACTTCCTTCTCTTGTGATAGTTTCTATTTTAATGTGTTGTTTAATCTCATTATAATTAATTATATACGTTTATATAAACTATTCGTCTCAAAAACATTAAAAGAACAATTTTGTCGTTTGCCAAGTAACAATGGTGTTGATAGCAAGAAAATTTCAAAAATTTCTTAGGTAAGTATAAAAACAATAAAGAGTGGTATTAAAATAAAATGTTGATATGGTTTTCAGAATAAAATTAAATCATTATCAATGACAGTAATAGGTAAATATTAGAAACTACATTCTAAATTCTCATACAAAATTTATTTATCTACATAATAAACACAGTTTCATTCATTTATTGCAGATTTCCAACGGATCCACAAAAACCTAAGAAATGGATACAATTTGTAAACAGAAGTTTTTGGGTATTTACGAAATCTAGTGAATTCTGTTCCAAACACTTTCTTAAACAAAGTTCTAAATGTTATGTTCGTCTAAAAGAAGATGTTATTCCTATTATTGATTTAACACAAATTGGTTAGGCTTACCCGGATCCGCAGTCAGTATCCCAGTCACACACGAAATAACAGGTAAAAAAGTAATCATGTAACTAATTAATTATTGTGTATTTATCTAACAATTTGCAACTCTTCTTAATTAACAGTAAACATTATTATCTTTATTATAATATTATACTTTTTGAATTTGTATTGGTATTGTATTTACCCTTCATAACATTCTTCTAGCTTAGCTTTAACCTTTAATGCTAATGGTCTTATTTTGGAATGTCTTACTTAATTTTTTTTAAATTAATTGTCATATTTAAGAATAGAATCTAAAAATATATTGGACATGTCATAAAGCATGAATGCTAAATTTATAGTGTTTATTTACAAAAATGTATTGATTAAGCCATAACTCATAAATAATGCTAAATAATATGATACTAATAACAAAACTATTTCCAAATAAGTATAAAGGGTGTTTCAAAAACATATGGCATCGCTCATAGGGTGATTCCTTGCCCAAAAGAAAATAGTTCCTGTTAACATGCGTCCGCAGATGCTTTGTTTCAAAGATGTAGGGTGTCTTAATTTTACAATTATTAAAAATTTAGATGACATTTGGAAAACAACAGTAATAAGAACTATAACAAGTCAATAAAGATGACACTAGCATACTAGATTTTGTATGGTTTTATTTTTCGTATATTTAAGTTTGATAAAATTGTACTCCCCAAACAAAGCCGAAATTAAACGGTGCTTTTTATTATAGAAATTTAAATATCTAACTAATATTGTTCTATCAAAAAGTTGACAGTGACTACATATTTTTTGTTAAACATTTTTAAAGCGCTCGTTCGCACGCGCTTCTATGTAAACCTATTTACATTTTTTTATTCTTATAATATTTGCTTTCTTGGATACATTGTAAAACTAAAATTTCTTTCTAATTGTTAAAGCTGTATCGGAAATATTTTGAAAAATTTAAAAAATTAAAAATTTTAACATCTTGTATTTTTGAAACAGCATTTGCGAAGCCATGTTAATAGGAGTATATTTTTGGGTAGGGAATTACAACTGGAGTGATGGCACAAATTTTTTGGAACAAGTTAAATATTGTTGTATTTTTATTTTGTTGTTTCCATGAAAATTGTAGTAGATATATTTGTTTTTAAGAAAAATAAATAAGATATTTTTTCAGTGTCCTATTTTTAAAAATGCATTTCCATTAAACATCGGTTTGCATTATATTAATTCCATTTCTTCACCAATGTAAAGTTTTCGAGTACGTTCCGCCATAAACGTGAAAATGACAAATAAAAGTGAAGTGAGAAAATCGATTTAGGTCCACTTAAACTGGTGGAGATACATATTTTCGTTAGTTCGCGTTTTGACAGATATGAGCGTTATCTGTAATAATGGACTTACGATACTTCTGCATCCCATGTAAGATCACTTTTAGAATCCAATTACAATAAAAAGAACATAGCTACGTCATAAATATTATTTCAAATTTTAAATATATATAATCTATAACTATCAATAAATAAAGAATATGTGAGTTGTTTGGTTTAAAAATAAGATTACACATTCTTATAATATTAACACGCCACGAAACCCCTAGTAGACGAAATACTCAGCCAATTAATGACGTAGGTGTGTTCTTCTTATTGTAATCGGATGATACTATAGTTTATTTTAAAATGCATGATAGCACAGTTTTTATGGCAAAGGGCTATGTACAGGATTGTTCAAAGCAGAAAAAAGTAAATATTGAAACCTTATCAGAATTTTTACTAGATTTTATTATGACCATCCCGAAAAACCTCGAATACAATACATCATAAAATATAAATGAATAAACCCTAAGGGATTACTCATAATTCTATACCCCAGTGAAGGGGAACACGAAATTACTTTATTATAAAAAATAATAAACTGTCAATATTAAGTACCCACATTTATTTTTATAAAAATAGGATACTAGATATTAGGTTAGGACATTTCCTTAAAATTTAATAATAAATACATACACAACCAAATTTATATGATATACTAAAAAAATAAACTTCTATCATAAAACATTTATATTTCGTTTTTAGAAATACAAGGTGATTTCACATAAATTAATTTGTTTGTATTTCGGGTACTAGATTAGATTAGGAATTAGACGTTATTTGTCCTTGTCCACCGCAACTTTTCAGTTCTATTGTGGGACTCCGTTTGTTTTAGAGTATGTCGTCTAGCCTGGTCTTTTTTATTAGACTTAGTAGCTTTGACAGTGGCTCCCGCATGTAGTTGCATGCAATTGGCTTTTCTTCGCCCAGTGTTAGAAACCTCATTCCAGCC